GTCACAGCCATGCCTGCTTCCTTTTAAAGAAGAAAGAAGTTCTTTATTTCTTTTCTTTCTTTCCTCCATGAGCAAATGTGCAGTCGTGCAGAAAGACACAGACACCCCAACAGGCGGGAGGGGTCACAGTAGGCTCTGCCCCCGCTTCAGCCAGGCCCGCCGTGGGCAGCGGCACACCCAGCCTGCTCCCGGGGCTCGAGGCAGGTGGCCAGCCTCCCAGAGCCGCGTGCCGCTCAGCCGTCTGGCCTGGGCTTGGTCTACATCAGGGCTGTCAGCAAACTCGACGCCGATTGGAACCTTCGGAGTGAGTATCCAGGGCACTGTTAACCCGCCTCTAATTCTGTTGACCCTAATGGCCCTTCCGAGTTCCGAGCATCACAGAGTGCCTTCTAGCGTGCAGGGCTCCTGAGGGCCTGTCGCAGACGCCACATGTGAAGGACGCAGGCCCTACCACCGAAGCCCTTGGTCACTAGCTCATGCCACGACCGAACAAGGACAGGGCCTGACACCCAGCCCACGCCCTCCCAGCCCGCGGCCCGCCCGGTCCCCCAGTCTGTCTCCCCTGGCGTTGGGAATGGGGAATTGCCTAGTGCCCTCGCCCCACGCTCATCTCACTCCCTGTGGCTCCAGTCACCCAGGGCCACACAGGCTGAGGGGAGCACGTCGCAGCCAGGCGTTTACAGCCCCGAACGAGGACAGGGCCTGACACCCAGCCCACGCCCTCCCAGCCCGCGGCCCGCCCGGTCCCCCAGTCTGTCTCCCCTGGCGTTGGGAATGGGGAATTGCCTAGTGCCCTCGCCCCACGCTCATCTCACTCCCTGTGGCTCCAGTCACCCAGGGCCACACAGGCTGAGGGGAGCACGTCGCAGCCAGGCGTTTACAGCGGGGAACGAGCTTCGGCTCTCCTCGCAGAGCATGGCTGTGATGCGCCATCTATCCAGGTTCTTGCTGCTCTTTTTGTGCCTCCTTCACACCCTTCACACGCTGTGTTTTATCTCAGGGGTGTGGCATGGTAAGAATCGAAGGCTGCCCCTAGCTCCGTACCACCCACGACTCAGGCGTCCCCTGGGGTCCTGGGACAATCCCGAGGGGCTGCTGCTCAGGTCAGATCAAGCTCTGGATGCGGCGTTCACACCATGTCATGGAGCCATGGTGACAGTGGGACTGTCCTCGCAGGAACGTCTTCGCCTGTCCACCACACCGGGCTAGACTGAAATCGCAGGGAGAGATGGCCCCGCCGTGGTCCGTGCAGTAAGACAAGGTTCCGTTCTGCTGGCCCACACAGGAGAGGGGTTCGGTTCCTAGGCCGACCTGTGCCCTCCGACGCACCTGCGTGCCTGAGTCCCGTATGCCAGGGCGGGCTGGGGACAGCCTGGCCTGACACCCTGCCAGGGTGCTCGTTTTCCTTTCTCAAGAATCAAATCATACAAATGGATAACCTTATGAAGTGTTGGGAAGAAGCCTGGTTAGTCTTTCTGGGTAGTTCTCAGTCCTGGGGCCACTCATTAGCGGTAAGTAACCACCCCTGATGCCCGCCCCGTCACCCCCTCGCAGCCCGGGCACAGGGGACAGTGCAGAGCACTGGGCGGCTGTCGGTGCTGGTGCTGGCTCAGGGACAGGGACACAGGGCACTTCACGGAAGGGGGGCCTCTGCTTCCACCTCCTCCCACAGCAGAGCAGGTAACGGGGGATGGCAAGTGTGAAAATGTCGGTGAGCTGGAAGGGCCTCAGGGCACTGCCCAAGGCTGCCTCACTCCCAGTGCCAGGGTGTTCAGGCCCCCGACTCACAGCCCAGCCCACTGTGGGCACAGCCTGGCCACATTACAGACCAGGGCAGAGGCCGCAGTGCCTCCTGGGACGGTCACAGCTCAGCCTGAGGCCAAGGCGCCTGAACCCGGTCCTGCTTCCACACGCAGCACTGGAGCAAGCTGGCCACCGTGGCCTGGCCCCTGGCTGCTGGGACCTAGCATGACGGTGACCGGCCTGGCTCCCAGCAGGGACTACCACTCTGCACTTGGCTCAGTTTACTCGCATAGCCCTAGGGGTCCGGTAAAAAAATCCAAGTTAACCCCTCAGCTGTCATGAGAGACACAGCAGAAACACAAATGTCTTTGACAAGCATGGGGAGAGGCTATCTGTCTATTAGCAAGGTTTTGTCGTGTAACCAGCAAATGGCATAATGGTTATTTCTCTGGACTCCTGTGTAGTTGACCACGGTTCGAGTCCTGGACCCAGTGGCTTAAAACTCATGCCAGGCCCATGTGCGTGCATGCTCAAGATCCCAAGAGGAGAGTGTAGGAGAGGGGACTCCATTGCGGCGTGGCCATCCCCCCCGGGGGTGATTTCTTGCTTTCTGTCTCTCTGTCTCTGTCTCTCTGGTACGTGTACATGCTCTACAGCAAAAATCTCTTAAAAAGAAGTGTGCTGCATAACATGGACTATGACAGGCCATGTAAATTACACGGGACTGAGCTGTGCAAGCCCGACCAACCTGCGGCTGACGGGGCTGACTCGCGAAGCCTACCCCGGGGACGAGAGATGAGACGGAGGTTAAAGTCCTTTACTTACTACAACACAGAAGACTTTATTTTTAGACACAGTGGGTTTCGTTTTGTTGACATTTATTCAACTGAAAACAAAGGTCGAGAAGATCGCGTGGTCGCTGACAGAAACACCGGGAAATGACCGACGCTGACCCACAGCCCTGTGTGCTCGCTCCAGCGAGCACTGGGCAGGAACGGAGGGGGTTCCCGGCTGGGTGGAGCAGTCACCTGTGTAGACGGCTTAGCTCGACACACTGGATGACCCATCTTCAATCTCCCCACGCAGAGACTCGGGCGTTTCATCTGCTGTGCAACGGTTTCTCCAAACGCTTTCAGGTTCTTAGTGAAATCAGCCTGTCACGCGGACACCCGTGGTCCCAGTGCGCCCAC